GGCGTCATTACTAAAGTGCCTTTATCACTATCCCTAATTGTTCTTCGGCGATACATTATGCCATTTATAAAAAAAAGAAAAAAAATACTAAACAAATGAGGACAGCGATTACTTCACAAGCACGTGCTAGTCGAAAAAAAAAAACATCCACTCGTTCATATTGTAAGACCTCACGTGCAGTTACCTGATTCGATACCATCAATTTTCTATAGAATCATAAAAGAAGAAAAAAATAGACGAGGCTTGTCTCTCTCAGTATCACCAGTTTCATAATATTGAAGTTTATTGGGAATTCCCGTTTACACAGTTAGAACGGAATGACATCGTGAAGACAGAATAATTTATGAACACCAATCATCAAAGTGAATCGGACAGCGTTGCTACTACTAGTGTGTGTGTTAAAGATAATGGATTGATATAGAATAAATGTTAGGAGACATCTTTTTTTTTCCTTTGTTCATTTTGAGTAAATTTGAACTTTCATACGTTTCTAATACTACATTGGAAAAATACTCAAAAGACTATTATTCACGTGGTTGGAAGTTTTAAGAATTCTTCGAACCAACGAAGTTTAATCACGTAAAATGAAGCCCTGAACGTTCTCGTACATTTAGTTTGCTATCAACCGTTTTTAAGTGATCTAATATTTCGCCTACCTGAAACATCAATTCCCATCTCCTTCAGCATCTTTTTTCTTCTTTCTCCTGTTTTATACTCCTATGTATAATATTTTTGCTTTCTCGCCGTCTCTTATTTGTATTATTTTGTTTAATTTACAAGATGGAGGAATTGAACCCAGGCCCAAGCTCAGAACCTCTTCTTCCCCATTATGAAGACCCGTTGGGTACACTTGTCAGCGCGTATCCCATGTAGCATTGCACCGTCCTATTTCCAAACGGCGACCATTATTACTCATTATCTTAAACTCCGTGTACTCAATGTGAATAAGATGACTTTAATATTAGAACTTCTACTACTATTACAAGCTTGAGGAGTTTGGTATAGAATCTCCTCCCTCCAAGTCAAGGTTCTTTCATTTTTATATATAGCTGTTATAAAATTCGTTAATATCAAGTATTTTTAAATTTGCTCGCCGACGTAACACAAAAAAAAATTATCTAATGTTTTATTTTTATTTTTGGACACGCGACACGAAAAATGTTCGCCAACACAGCCCTGTATAATGGCAGGTAAAGTGCTTATACTCGTTTGTACTCGTCTCTGCGGCGTCGAATTATTTTTGGTACGTACATAGTGTGTTGCCATCAAAAAAGTTTGGAAAGCACTGGTCTATCGGTTGAAAATTAGGGATAACTAGCACAGATAACTCTCGTGTAGCTTTGAATGAATACAAACCCACGGTGGTCCACGAAACCAAGAAATCCTAACAGAAAGTTTTAAAATCGTGGGACTTTACACGATTGTAGTTGAGTATGCGTTCCTTCATAAATAATAAAACACTAGAATAGCGATAAAATGTAAAAAAGAGAATTAATAAAGTGCTTTATCGTTAATATCTGTGCATTTAACGATGAATGTGTATCACGCCATCTTGAATCACTACGAAACTAAACTTCCTAACGAACGATTATCGAAAAGCGTTTTACCTTTTATCGTCGAAATGAAAATTATAGAGGCGCTCTGTTTATAACTATAGACATAAAGATTGATAGTTATAAACCGAACAACCCACAAAATAGAAACCCTAACGTATTTTGAGGGTTATTTATGAACAGGTTAACACATATATATTCGTATTTCAAAGTAAATCCTGATTCACAAATTTCTAAAGAAACATTTATTCCTGACTCTCAAGTAAATCAACATGATTTATGTATTTCTTCTAATATAATCATTAAAACGTTCGTATGGCTGACGAGAATCAAGAAAATGTACTTGTTATACACAAGTAAATCAAGAAAATGTACGTGCTATACACAAGTAAATCAAGAAAATATACGTGTTATACACAAGTAAATCAAGAAAATATACGTGTTATACACAAGTAAATCAAGAAAATATACGTGTTATACACAAGTAAATCAAGAAAATATACGTGTTATACACAAGTAAATCAAGAAAATATACGTGTTATACACAAGTAAATCAAGAAAATATACGTGTTATACACAAATAAACCAAGAACATGTTCGTGCTATACACAAATAAACCGAGAACATGTACGTGCTATACACAAATAAACAAGAACATGTACGTGCTATACCAGAGTAAATCTTGAAAATGTCCCAAATTAAGTACTGCTAAATACTGAAAATAATAACAAAACGTATTTTTAGCAACCATTGACAATTATGTATTCTAAATACAACTTATTCTGGTAAATAAAATGTTTAGAAGTGTTTCTTTATCATTAATTTAACACTTCTAATTTCTTTAGTATCTTAAATTGTAGGAATTAAGGTTTATATTTTGTGATAGAAATTGATTTATTAAAAACATCATAAGTCAAATTATTCTCATAGTGTGTTACTTAATTTGTTTTTCGTCTATCTTAGGGAAAATCCAAACATTACTGGTATTTCATAATTTGTTTTTCGTCTATCTTAGGGAAAATCCAAACATTTCGGGTATTTCTTAACTTTCTGCTCTATATTTTCTATCTCAGAATTCCATCAGACACAACCTGTCTTTGAACAAGAGTTTCGTCAAAGTCCCTCGCAGTAAGGACGAACCCGGGAAAGGAGGATTCTGGAAACTGGACCCTAACTACGCCAAATCGCTGGTAGATGGCGTCTTCAAGAAGCGTCGTTCAACAGAGAAACAGGTAAATAACGGGTTTCTAAAGAAATCCCGAAAAATTAAAAGTACCACGCATTCAGCTGAGAACTGGAAACAACGTTTACCAGACGTCGTCCAGGATACGCCACCAGGGTCAAGTGGAGAAGCCGATAGTCTGGTCCACACTATAGGGAGTTTAACAGCAGCGCCTCCACGCGGCCGTTCCCCAGTAATGAACGTAGAAACTATTGACTATAACAAAGCGACTCCTAGAGGCCAAGAAGGTATGTACAACATAGACGAAAGTATACAGGATGACCTTAATGTTCTTTTAAACTATTCGTACACTGAAATGGAGATGCTTCAGTCTTCTGAAACCCCAGTTAGCGAGTGTCAAAATTTTCTTTCTTCTCAGCCTCTGATCTTAGACGATGACTTCTTCCCTTCTGAAACGAACGACTCCCCTCTTCCTAGTGATTTAGACCTGTTACCTGCGTCCACAGCAGATACCCTTCATTTTACTGACCAGGTTTCGACTCTCTTTTCTTCTGATTGGTGGTCAGGCTTCCAGCAAACTCAGAACGATCTCCTATACCTGAAGCCCTCTCTGCTCAACTTCTCTTCGTCCAACCCAAACCATCTCGGTGAAGGCTCGAACATCCTATACCCTCCAGGGTTGTGTCTACCAGCAAGCCCCACGTGTGCCAATTTTGACCAGCAGATGGCAGCACCAGAAACGAGTAATCAACCGTGGGCTGACTGCAAGGCCGCTATAGAAGCTGCTGCCCTCGATCTTGAGAGTTTTAATGATTATGATACCAATCGTGTTTTTTAATGTGGTCTACTGAAGCTATTTTTAAACATTCTAAGTAGGTTTTTTTATCTGATTGAGTAAAGTTTGTCTTGAACAGCGAACTTGTTTATACTCAGCAGAGAATAAGACAGTTAATGATCGAATGTAACCTACTAGATAGTGAGCTGGGCTGCGAATCGTAAGGTCTAGGGTTCGAACCGCGATATGTCGCTAAACACACTCCACACTTTCAGCTGTAAGTGTGTTTAACTGCGGCAAGTTTGCTCCACTATTCGGTTAAGACTAACCGCATAGGTGGCGGGTTATAGGAATGACTATGCCTGAACTTTAGGAGCCTCTCATATGGCCACTTAGTCCCTTGGGTCTCACAATGTGCTGTAGCTCATGTATCGGTATCCACGAATTCTTCAAAAACTCATGTACGTTAAAGCTACATTTATAAAATTGAAGTTACCCGAAAAATTATGGAAACAGATATAACTTTCGGACGTTTCTCTTCAGCTTCTTTGGTTTTTTTTTTACTCCTCAGTTAACTGTTGTGTTTTAATCAAATAACTGTGGACTCTTTATTACTTCTTTCTTGACTCGCAATCTGAGGGTCGCGGGTTCGAATCCCCTTCCCACCAAATATGCTCGCCCATTCAGCCGTGGCGGGCGTTATAATGTGAGGGTTAATCTCACTATTCGTTGATAAAAGAGTAGCCCAAGAGTTGGCGGTAGGTGGTGATGACTAGCTGCCTTCCCTCTAGTCTTTCACTGTTAAATTAGGGACGGCTAGCACAGATAGCCCTCGTGTAGCTTTGCGCGAAATTCAAAACAAACAAACAAGCTATTACTTTTAACAGGTTTTGAAATGTAAAATGTGCATATAATTTGAACACTCGGATGCAATATTTTTAAAGAATATGAGCTCACATTTTCGAGACAGTACAGTGGAATACCTAAATATAGGTGGAGTTTTTCAAACGTGTTATTGACTGTTTTAGAGAAACTTCAATGCAAGGAGGACGTTTACAACTACAGATGTTTAGGCCTTTTCAATGTCTCAGCTCAGCTAACTTTACAGTTTCCTGTTGTTGTTTGTAAGCGACTCCGTATATTTAACGCGTTAGAATTATGAAATGGACCAGGAAGTTAAAAACAAAGTAATGCTGCTAAAACATCAAACATCAGGGCCTAAACCGTTGACCTTTGACACTTATCTACTGTCCTCACCGAGTAATTCAGCTCCTTATCCCCATCTAGCGTTTCTGATTGCTAGTACAAGAATTTTGACACCATAATGGCAGATTTTGTTAATTTTAAAACATGTAGTTATTTATAAACGGACTTGCCACGAGTCAGGTCAAGTATTTTAGGTAAAAACATAAGCTGTGTGAGACTTCATCACACGTGATACACTCTCGCGCAGGTCATGAGCTTTTTAAAAAAGGCGTTACCTTAAAACAGATGAAATTAAATTCTATTATAAATTAAGTTAAATTATATTAAATTAAGCTATACTGTAGTTCTATTATAAAATTGGCTACAGTTTTATTCAATGAGATCATTTCACCAATCCTAAGTTTTTTCTTTAAATTAAACTTTCTTATAATACGCCCCTGGTGGCCAAATAGTCAATCTGAGAGTTTATAACGCTAAAAAATAGGTTTCGATACCCGCAGTGAGTAGAGCGCAGATAACCAATTCTGTAGCTTTGCGCCTAACAACAAATAAACTAAACCTATGAACAGTTTGTTTGTTTGTAATCAAGCACAAAGCTACACAATGGGCTATCTGTGCTCTGCCCACCACGGGTATCGAAACCCGGTTTCTTGCGTTGTAAGTCCGCAGACACACCGCTGCGCCCTATGAACAGAACCACTTGTAGTAATTAATTAACTTTTACCTTGAAACCTTCTCTGAAGATGCAGGAAAATGTCTTTAACGTTAGTAACTATTAAGATTAGAATTTCTGCTTTTAATATATACGTATATTCCGTCTTATTCCAATACAATTAGCGTATTGTTATAAAAATAACAGTCAAATCGATCACTATAGGTGTATGACGAGAGCCAGAAATGCTGGTAAAATATTCCAGTATACAGATTTGTATCATCTTTTTACAATGTTGTATTTCAAACATTCAAGATTAAAACATTTCGATTTGGGTTTGAACAACTTAAAATCTTTCCGTCCAGACTTTAAAATCATATCTTAAAACCTCTTCATCTAGGTTTTGTGATATCTGTTCGGGCCTTAAAATTTTACCATCCAGATTTCGTGATATTAGCCCTAATATAAGACCCATAACTTTGCCTTTCAGACCTGTTGATATTTGCTCAAAATTAAAACCTTAAAATCTTGCCGTTCAAACTTCTCGAATCAAACACTGTTTCCTAAATTAAATTAACTTCGTATTTCAAACATATTTTTTCATATGTACATTGTTTCACCAATTCATGTTATATAACATAACATAAAGTTTTGGGACAACATGGGACTTATTGGTCCATCTCGGCTGTCCCATCCTCTAAACTAACTAAAAATGATTATAAATAAATAAAAAGAAAATTATAAATAAAAATATTAAAGCCAGCCCTTATCATTCATAAGCTTATCAAGCTTATCATTTAAATTTACTGCTTCTACAATATCCGAAGGCAACCCATTCCAAAAGCCAACCACCCTGTTAGAAAAATGAAACTGTCTTAGCTGAAGATGACTCCTACCTTGCTAAAATTTATATTTGTGTCCCCTAGTCCTACTATTCTCGTAGTTAAATATTAAAAAAAAATGATGCATTGACACTATCAATTCCCTTTACAATCTTAAGCACCTCAATCAGATCCCTCTCTAACTCTTCTTTTTTCAAGAGAAAACAATTTGAGAGATTTCAACCTATTATCGTATGACAACCCTTCCATCCCAGGCACCATTCCAGTAACCCTTCTCTGAACCCTTTCCAATAATTCAATGTCTTTCCTAAGGTAAGGAGCCACAACTAAACACAACATTCCAAATGTGGCCTAACCAGTGACCTGTACAATGAAACTGTAACCTCTTTAGACTTGTATTCAGTATTTCTATAGATACAACCTAAAATCCTATTTGTCCTACCACTAGCAACAGCACACTGCTTGGATGGCTTTAGAGACTGATCGACTATTACACCAAGATCCCTTCCTTTATAACACTATTAAGGTTATTCCCATCCAAATTATACTTATAATTCATATTATGATAACCCACACGCATTATCTTGAATTTATTATAATTAAAACCCATCTGCCATTTATTTGCCCAACTCACTAAATGATTTAAATCCTTTTGTAAATCAGCAGCATCCTCTTCAC